TGACGGCCTTTTTCGCTGCTCTTAGGATAAGCGAGTTACTCGCCATGTCGAAGAGAGATATTTCTCAGCGGGCGTTGCTGTTGTCAGATATAAAACTAACGCAGGACACCCTTCAAATTTTGGTACGTTTGTCCAAGACGGACCAGCAAGCCAAGGGTGCTGTGGTTAAATTAGCCAGTTGCAGTGACCCCGAGCTATGCCCTGTTTCGGCAATGGCACATTTCATACAAGTAAGGGCTGAGTCACGGGGATATCTGTTCTGCCATCAGGATTCCACCCCCCTTACGAAATATCAATTTTGGGCCATCACAGATAGAGCGCTGAAGATGCTCGGGTTGGGTTCTCACAAATTTGGCACTCACTCTTTTCGAATAGGGGCGGCATCTTCGGCAGCACACTTGGGTTACAATGATGAGGCCATTAAATCAATTGGCAGGTGGAAATCGGACGCTTCCAGGAGATATGTTCGCTCGGTACTTGTTTGATTTTGTTGTTTATCTTTCAGAGTTTGCCAGGCTGGTGCATAGATGGAGGATCCTTGTGTGTGGGCATAGTTATGTCCACTGGGCGGAGAGATACGCCAGGAACTCGTCCTTTGGCCAGCATCTGGGTTTTGCTTCCACTGCATTGGTCGAGTGGAAGGGTGTTCGGGGCCTTCGTTGGGACGGTTTAGTTCCCTTGTTGTTCCAGGACAGGAGCGGGCCTTTGTTGGGCCGGTGCTCCATATCGGAGGTAATGATCTGGGCCTGCTTAGCGGCAGGGCCCTGTATCTACAAGCCCGTGCCGACATTTTAGGATCTGGCAGGCATGGTCCCGGGTTCACATCGCTTGGTCGGCCATCATTCCACGCCTTCGGTGGCCAGGAGGCGGTGACGTCAGGAAGCTCGAGAAGGCCAGAAAGCGTGTGAACCGGGCCATGCGCACGGCTTTGGCACGGGGCAGAGGATCTTACATACATCATAGAGAGATTACGCACGACAAAACACACTTCTACCGTTATGATGGTATACACCTGACAGATTTGGGTAACTCACAATTTTTGGCTGATTTGCAGTTAGGCATTCAGGAGGTTTTGAGGGGCTTGGTGGGGGATGGGGGCGAAATAGACATTTGCCCCCAATCCGTGGCATAAATAGATCAGGAAAACACAGACATGGAGGTATACGCAAGGCACCCCTTAGGGTGGGGGTCAGTGTACAACAAACACTCACCTAGAAGTCACAAATGGGTGAGGGGACATCAATTGGCACAGTAAAGAGAGAAGCTGATATCAATAATCAGACACAGGCTTCTCCAGACTTTTACCTTCAGGTTGCCCGGTTGGGGATCCAGGGCACACAGATATTACACACTAAGTAGCCGAGGACGCTGCCTCGGTTAGCCACCAAGTTCCTAGACACATAGTTTAGTTCAGTTAAAGTTAAATAGGTAACATTCAATAAAAGTTGCCCAATTTGAATCCATACCATTGTTGTCTGTCTCGTTATTTCAGGGGTTAAGGGGCAAGGGACTCTCCACACCAACACAGTTGGTGGGGAGAGCGATTTGCCCCTCCCCCTGAAGGCAGAGAATGGGAGGTTCCGTTAGAACCTCCTGGAAGAGGGGCGGGGGCTGGCTAACCACGTGAGCCAGCCTCTGCCCCTCAGTCTTGTTAGACCTTTCGCCCGCCACTCCCGCCCATTGACAGTATATTTGGTTGCCCGTTGGAGCCGGGTAGGAATTTTTTGCCTCTCATGTTCTGGGGGGTTTTTTCGCCTACCCTATACTGTTATTAGGGGCTAGATGGAGTGGTTTGGTTTAACTAGGCCAGCATAAATAGTTCAGGAAAACACTGACATGGAGGTATACACATGGCACCCATTAAGGGTGGGGGTCATTGTGCAACAAACACTCACCTAGAAGTCAGCAAATGGGTGAGGGGACATCACTTGGCACAGAAAGAAGAGAGGCTGATATCAATAATCTGAGACAGGCTTCTCCAGACTTTTACCTTCAGGTGCCCGGTTGGGGATCCAGGGCACACAGATATTACACACTAAGTAGCCGAGGACGCTGCCTCGGTTAGCCACCAAGTTCCTAGACACATAGTTTAGTTCAGTTAAAGTTAAATAGGTAACATTCAATAAAAGTTGCCCAATTTGAATCCATACCTTTGTTGTCTGTCTCGTTATTTCAGGGGTTAAGGGGCAAATATGCTTTTTTCAGCTTTTTCTCCAGAATAAACTAAGCTCTTGTCTTTCACTCGGATATATATATATATATATATATATATATAATAAATAAAACAGGTCTGCTCTTATAGGACTAACAGATAATAAAAAGATCTGATATACAGGAAATTGATAAATAATATGACACAGAATAGAATAACAAGAATTGGTGAGTTATTAAACTCTGATGGAACAATTAAAAAATGAGATGAGTTAAAGAATAAGTGCAGACAAAGAGACTGGTTATTATGGCATGGAATGAGGCAGGGGATTACAGAATGGAAAAGAAAAGAAAGCAGACTTAAACCAAATTTTAAAATGGAAATTAAAGAAGGGGAAAGGAATTGGAGGATTTATATATAAAAAAAATAATTGAAAAAAATACAATATGAAACATTCTTTGTTCAATGTATGGAAAGACAAATTAAACTATAAGGAGAATGAGATTAAGAATTAGATAAGAACAATTAGGGAAATGAAACATTTAAGGATTAAGGAAAAACAATGTAAAAGGTTGACAAAAGGGTATCAAACCAACTGCCCCACATTACAAAAACAACAACAACAAATTATCTTGGCATAAATGCCAATAAATGGTGGTACTGTGAAAGGTTACAAAATTTGTATAAAAAGATTGGTGAGATGGAGAATTAGTAGGGAGAAGATTCAAACTAAACAAAAACCAATTCTTTACCTAACAAATTGTAGGCAATGGAAGAAATAAAGGCCAGATTGAAATTGCAAATATATGATAGCATCTACCCAAGCAACAATTGCCTTAGGATGGAAAGATGAAAGGAAATGAGTACTTTAAAAATGGCTTAAATATTTATCAGAGTATATGCTCCAAGACTATATAACTGAAAGGAGAACAAAATATATGAATGGTCATCCAAAGGAAAACTGGGAATTGAAGTGGAAAGAGCTTATAGAGAAAAAGAGAAAGAAAAATATAAGGAACTGAACCAAAAAATCTTCATGATCAAACCAATAATATAAACCACTGAGTAGAGTCATAACTGTTCCCGGAGGGAGCGGGAAGGAGGAAGAGGGAGGGGGAAAATGGATAGGTATAAGAAATAGATGTATAGAATCGTGAAGGAATGCAATCAATAGAATGTGTTATATGAAGTAAATAATAATGATAATATATGATTGTATGTATGAAATTGTGACAATGTTACAAATTATTTACATCTAACCAAATAAAATATTTTTCAAAAGAAATAAATCACATGCAATGCAACATTGCCCATTTAGAACCATAAGCGCCCATGCAACGTACTAGCATACAGAAAATAATCTGAATATTTTACTCTGCATAAAATATTGCTTCACACACATTTCTAGATCTCAGCTGTTCTTTCTGTTAAAGAATTTTTAAGAATTACATTAATTATTCCACTCCTTTCTCATTCCCATGGTTCAAGTTTCATTATAGCTAGGAAAAATTTAAAATTATTTCTGTAATTAGAACATATGCTTCTGCAGCTGGCAGCACCCTCTGTTTTTTCATCATTTCCTCCCTTTATATTGCGTACCAATGCTTATGTTTATAATCAATACAACATTTGAGCAAACATGATGGAACTACATATGAGATGCATCAATATTTTGTTTATTTTGTATTTTGCATTTCTAAACATTAGTAAATCATCTGCATAACTGAAATATGATATACTCACATTTACAGCTATATCAGGAATTTTTTTTTTTGTGTTTTTTTCCCTCTCCAAATACACACAAGTAGAGTGCTACTGAGAAAATCCCTGAGGCAATCATGAATTCCAATATGATTGGCCTTTTCTATAGATTTCACATTGGGAATGAAGGACATGAACTTGAATTGTACATATAAAGCACTCTACACATTTTTTTTAAAAAAAATAGAATTCCCAATTAGTTGGCTTTAATTTGGAAACAGAACCAATTAACCCAGTGATCCAGTTACCAGAATGGAATTTAACAGCATCCTTGGATATGGTAATGTCTTAACTGCCATTTGCATGTTAATCACATAAAAGTAGTCCATATATACTGAGGGAACATATATAATCAGTTCATATGTATAACTAGAATGTGTAATACATCCTGAGTACCAGTATGGAGAAAAATATGGGGTATAAATAAACAAAAGCACCAGCATCAACAACAAACAACAATGGCAATGCTTTTTAAGTCATAGGTTTTTCTTGCTTTCAACATTCAGTTGCACAGCTTGACATCTGAACTCAGGAAATCTATAAATGTGTAGAAAGTAGAGGCAGCCCTGGATTAAATTGGTCTAGCATGACCTTGTTTCCTTCTTCACACAATTCACATCCAAAATCTCTCTTAACTGTACAGCTAAATGTATGGAAAACACCAATCTGGATCAAACAATGTCCTTAATATGTAAATATCATTCTCTTTCCATGATGCTCATGAGTTGTTTACTAAACTTATAATAGTTCTGTTCCTTCATGAAAACCAAGTCTAAAAGATTAAATAAACATTAAAAAAGAATTAAACACAAACAGTAAAAAAAATTCACAGATAAAACCATTACAACACATTGAAAGTTAAAAACCACAGCACCCCCTGAATTGATCTTAGAAACCTTCTTTTTTAAAAGCCTGCCTGAATAAAAAGGTTTTCACCTGCCGGTGGAAAGACAACAGGGAATGGGCCTAGGCAGGGAGTTCCAGAGCCGAGGGACAGCACATTCTCAGCAACCCATCTACTGATATTACTTCACTAAATACATACTAATTGTAAATTAAAGTGTTAAAATATATTTTCATCTCTTACCTGCTGGTTTACAGGAAAATTCCTATTGATTTTTTTAATCTGTAAAGGTAAATAGAGGATTTGATTAATACATCAGCACATCCAGTTATACAGCTCACATCACAGGACACCACAACTGACACTTTAGTATCAGTTGTATTAGTACCTGGATCCCCTGCTGAAGATACCTGCCACATAAATTTCATCCAGAATTCCATAATTCCTAATTGATAAAAATGCTTGCCATATACCTAGCTTTGGATGTCATTCATGCCACACTGCATTACAAAAATACAGGTGTGCCAATTTTAAGTTGATGTGTTCCAAAGCATTACTTCTTTAACAGAAAATTTGGTAACAGACATAGAAAGATTGGAATAAATTATTGCACATAAGAGCAATGATGTTGAATATGTTTCAAAGATTTGTTTTGCCAAACTCACAATCAGGTCAGGTAACCTGTGGATAAATAAATACACAAAAACTGTTTTAACTTCCTAAAGACCACTGGAGAGCTTCTTCCCAAATGTATCCAAGGATGACTGTTTCATTCTCTAACCTTCATTTTTTTGATGATTTATATGTTGGCAATCAAATTTAATGATCTATGCTTTATAAAATGGTGGGGGGGGGGAGGTGGTGGTAGTGGTGGTGGTGGTGGTGGGGGGAAGCTGGTAAGAAAGACTTATCTGCTTTCCACCTTTCTGTCATTTTTATTGTTCACAATACTGAGTAAAGGATTATGGAAACATCTACTGCCAGCATTGACTAGAAACCCATTTTTCTCAGCTCAGGGTTTATCATTTTGTTTACTGCAAACTCACTTCTAGTACCCAAATGCCAAAATCTGGGTTCTTCGGCTCTCTGTCATCATTAACTCAGTCCAAATGCTATTAAAATTTTGGATAAATAGATAAGGAAGAAAAAGGGAGGGTGGTGGTGGATAGAAAGATTTGATAAAAAAAATATTTACTGACATATGCTTTTGGATCTCCTCTTCATTTGGAGCCTGAAAATGCCACAACATAAAAGAAGAAATGTTTTTCTGATTCTCCTTGAATCCTGACCAGGAATTTGATCTACATCTATATAAAGATTTGCATGCTTTGCAACTTGAAAAATGAAGAGTTCTGTATATATGAAGGAAAGAGCATGGCGAACTTTTGGGAGAACAGAAGTAAAAATGTCAATGCTGATCTCCTAAAAGAGTCAAGACAAGGTTGTGAGAACTGTAAGGGCGAGAGGAAATCAAATAGAGCTACTGTTCTGCTGTACTCTTTTATGAAAAATATCAAGTGAGATGGTAGCCATGTTATGATATAAGATGGCAGTCTACAATGCTCTGCTGCTAAGATGACCTACATCAACTTACGGAATTGGTGAACTGTCAATGAACTGCCACGGGCTCATGGTTTATATGATGCAGGTATTGTGCATCATATAAACACTTGCATTTTGGCAGCTCAGAAGACATGACAGTTAATTTCTCAGATCGGCAAGTAATTCCATTACAGAGATTTCTTATTAAACACTTTATTTTTAATCTAAATATTTTTGTATCATTGTAAAACTTTTTATGACTTGCTTTCACTAACATATAATTTTCATCAGAGCTATAGTACCATCAACTGAATTTTTTTCTGATGAGAATTCTCTGGTTTAAGCTTCGGTTTATTCAGTCCCATCTAGTTAATTACCAGGATCAGGAAATAATTTCAAATAGAAAAGCTTCCTTGGCATTAAATGTAAATTATCATCTAGAGTTGCATATCATCGGCATACTAATGGCATTGAATTCCAAATGTTTCCAGTGAAAACTGTGATGTACATCCCAGCAATGGTCACAAGGTCAGTCAGGAGTCCCCAGCATCACATTCTGAATTTGCTTCCCCTTAAAAGATGAGAGTTGCTACAAAGCAGTGCTTTCAAACTCATCCCAAACAAGTGACCAAAAAGGAAACAATGGTGATGGTATTAAAAGCTGCCAAGTCCAGTTCTTCCCAGTATAGATCTTCCATCAAGATGATTAAAAAGGTTTGCCTCTCGCAATCTGACTTGCAGTCAGTGTGTACTATCTTTAAAATCATGGCCTATGACCAAGATAACATCATTAAATGCACGTAGCATATAAAATCTAACATGTCTTTCATAATATTCATAGAATCATTGGGTCAGAATGTATATTATCAGAAAGTGATCCATTGAAATAAAAAAAAGCCAAGAGCCATTTACACCTCTTTCAACTAGAAAAATAATATAGATAGAACTGTATTTTTCATTGCGTGTCAGTCAGCAAAATGCACAGCAGTTCAAGAAGACCTTATTTAATGGGTCAGAGTAGAAATTAAATGAAAAAGAAATATTTGTACTTATATTTTCCACTTTTCAGCAGACTATATTAGAGCACCTATTGTTATCTCATGCATGTTAAATTAGTCAAATTTGCAAAAAAAACAAAACCCATCATGCAATAACTTAAATATCAAAGATACAGCCTAGAATGTGTGTGCATTTAAGCAATGTTTTATTTCTCGGAAATATTCCTTCAAGGATATTGCTTGATATAGAACACTTAACTGAAGATGTTTTCCTAACACTCTTTTCCTTTTTTCTTTTACACTGCTCTTAAAAGTGCCCTTGAAAATACCATGCTGCTATTTTTGGCAAATGATAAAGAGAGGAAACCTTTATTTGTCAGTACACGTGACACTTCTAGGTGACATATAATGAATTTAATTCTGTGAAATTCTAACTTTCTCTTACTTTGGGTAAGCCATTGCTCTTCCTTACAGTATTGATGAACTCTAGCAAGAAATCTACACTTCTCATCTCAACAGCACATGAGGTTTACAATCCTTAAAATGTTGCCAGAAAACACCTTGGCATTTTGGCAAGAGAAACAATTCTGTATCAGGATCTCCACCCCCCCCCCCACCTCACTTTATTCCCCTGGTTTTTAACTAATAATGCTTTCTACACAAGTTAATATAACAAGTATGGTAATGTTCCCGTAAAATCAAATATTCCCTACAAATTGATGGGCCAATATATATCAGCAATGATGTTTTCAAGGATCAACACTCATTCAGGAACATTGTTTTGAACTGTCAGCCAGCTTTAGCTGTGACTAGAAACCTGATGGAAGTATCTCATACAAAACAAATACCCTTATCAGATTGGGTAATTTTCAGCAGCATGTGCCAGATCCTCTAGAGTTTTGTGATGGAGCCCGCCAGCTTCCATCTCATGATATAGAATTACTTCTGGTGGGGCTCTGTCACAAAACTATAGAAGATTCAGCATATGCTGCCATGGAGGCAACACAGAAGGCCTCCCTTGTTCAGTTGGAATCAACACGAGGGTAGCCAGGTGGTGGACGCTTCTCCCGTGGGATGAGGTAGGATGGAAGCCGGGTGTTGGATGCTGGATTTGCCATGATGCATGGTGATTCCGGTGGTCCATATGATGAGGTCGAAACAAACAAATATGACTTTCCAAACTGTACATAATCCTTGAGATTAGATGGTCTAGTGGTCCCTGTATAGACAGCATGCCTCCTAAGAGTTGTCCCTGCCCCTTTATCCAGATATCCTAAATATACGAGGGCTCGTGCTTAATTTTTCATCCAGTGTGAACTATTGTGTGGGCAGGCTTTTCTCTAACCTGCACATGTTCTGAGGGAATGACGTTCAGAGGAGAACATCCATGGAAAAAGACATGTCCCCATTAATTAGGGGCATCAAAATAACTGTACTGATATACAAGCAACTGGGACAATGGAACTAGATGTGGAAATTTACCTTTGCCTATTTCAGGACCCCCCATGAACCAAGAAAAACAAGTTAACTCTTGGCATGGGCTTTGAAAAAAAATCACAGCTGGACCTGGTAATTTGTCCATTATAGACCAGGACAGGGAGCACAACACTTGGATATGAGAGAGGGTGGCAAAGACACCACTGAATCTGTATAGTGACAACTATCAAATCCTAAGGCTTTCGGCAGGATTGGATGAGACCAACTTCCTCAGATGATGGAATGGGGGGGTGGTGATGAGTCCCTAGCGACTCACTGGGACACAATAGTTCACTTCTACCTGGTTCACTTCACCAACAGTCTGTTTGCCACCATCTTCCATGGATCATGCATCAGCATCTCCCAAGCTAGACAATCTTGCTGCCTACATAATCTGGGGGTCACCCCTATTACTTTGTTCTTGTCATGGAATGAGCTGGTAGCAAATGGATATAGTGACTACCCACCTCAATGTTGGTCACTAATCCAATGCTCCACTACTTGCTCTGAGGAAAACATCTTCAGGGAAAGACACTGTTAATGGGTTGAATATGCTTGAGCAACTGCTATTTTGCCATAATGGCAGCAAGTAGTATTTAAACACAATTTAGCCTTTATTTAAACAGTACTATTTGCCTTGACAATGGAGCAGGTACCATAGTATCTGCAATGCTTCACTATGAAGAAGAACACTTTACTCAGAGTGTGACACTGGGAGCTTGATGGTTTGGGAAACCCAGGTGGATATTAAAAAGGCAAACTGGGAGTGGAAGACAGAGGAGAAAACAAATGTTCTCCCTGTCTACTTCATGCTGTAATCTGCTTTTCACCGGCCCAACTTCCAAACTGAAAATCCTGGCTTGATGATTAAGAGGCACATAAGCGGAGACACTGAACATCAGTTGATACCAATTAAATTGTAATTATTCTAATAATTCATTGAAATTCTAAGTTCCACTGATGTGTTTGTTTCTTTTCTGAGGGAAGTGACACTAAAAAGCCTAGATACACTGTGAAAAAATATGAGGGTTTGAAAGGCCTACCTACTTCATTCACAATTAAATATAGGATATTTTTAACACTCTCGAAAATCCAGCTGCATCAATTACACATGCCAGCTAGTGTCCCCAGTCAGCTGAAACATCTGTCATCAGGCGTTTCCACTATAATGAGAATACAACTGCAACTTGCATAAATAACCTGCTGCGTATTAACAATACAAGCAGCCCACAGATGATCTACAAGACTGATCAATTGCACATCTGT